CAACTAGACAAAGGCACAAGCTGATGCGTTGCATACAGGCACAGTGTATTCATCCCACTGCACCCCAAATGTACAGCATTACACTTAACACTAAACTGTGGATGAGATACTTCGTCATCACTCTCAGGATCGCAACATAGGCACAAGTCTGACTCGACCTACTAAATCACAAGTGTAGGGGTGTCAGGGGAGGGATTCCCACCAATAGATGGGTTAGTGGGAGGGGTGATCGAGGAGATATAAGGAGAGAACGAGCGGGAAGAGGGGGCCTTTGGCGGGAACGATATTGGGACGGCTGGGGACAGGTGTGGATGGAAGGAAAGGAATAAAGGACGAGACCCCTGCAATCTGGTGTCGGCTCCCCCTTTACATCTGGTGGCAGCGGTGGGATTTCAATGGCTACAAAGAAAAATCCCCGCGGGAAAGAGCCAAGGGAAGAGGAAGCAGGGGCCGGGGATCCTTCCCATCCCGGGCAACAAGGGGGCCTGCTATCAGAAGCAGCAGCAGGGGGCCCGGATCGCCTGGAGGACCCCATGGAGGACCGCATGGCCCGCGTGGAGAGGGCACTCCAGGAGCTACTACAGAGGCTCCCTATGGGGGGCCCGCCAGCACCGGGACCCCCACCCCCACGCGTACTACGGGAGGAGAGGCTACGGGACCAGGAGGACGACCAGCCGGCCGGGCAAGAGCCGCAACCAACCTCGTCACGCCAGCCGCCGCCGCTCCCGCCAAAACCCCCAGGGCTAAACACCCAACACGGAGAGCAGATGGCCGGACGGCCGCGTCGGCTGGGGCCTGTCGACAAGTTCGTGGCTGAGGAAGAAGATTGGGAGGAGTTTGTCCGCCGATTCGAGGCTACCTTCCACGCTCTCGAGTGGACAGACGAAGAGGCACTACGAGCGCTGCCATCCGTTCTGGGCAAGGAAGCACTCTCCTCTTACACCTCCCTTCCCTCGCACAGCAAGACCACGCTACAAGCGGCCTACGAGGCTTTGGGGGAGATCTATTGTCCGGCGGAAGGAGCCTTTAAACGGTTCCAGGATCGCCAGCGAGGGGCTAAAAAATCCCCTTTAGCCTACAGGGGTGCGCTGCTCGTGTTGGCGAGGAGAGCTTTCCCTCGCCTGGCTGAAGAAGCGCTCGAGGACCTCGTGGTCGAGCACCTCATCGCCTACGCTTGCCGCGCCGGCATTGTAATGCCCGTGGTGACGCCGGGGGAACGCACCTCGCTGTGGGCTGCCCGGACCATCCAAGCCCACGAGCAGGTCATGGGCCGGGCGCCACCCGTGGGCCCGGTGGCTGGCGCGGCAGGGGGGAACAGCCGAGCCGTTGCCGCGGCGCTACTGGGTCCAGCGACACCAACCGCCGAACCTGCACCGTCGCCACAGGCTGCCTGTGGGGCAGCTGGGGACGGACCCCCGACGTCTGAGACGGAGCCATCGCTGCGGGAGGTGTACGCGGCGATCCGGGGACTGGCGGAGCAGAGGGACCAGGGGCGCGACCAGCCGCCGCGTCGCTGGCAGCCGCCTCTACAACATTGCGCCGAGCCCCCCCGACGGAACGCCCCGTGGGTCTGCCACCGTTGTGGTCGAGAGGGGCATGTGGCGAGGGGGTGCTGCACGGAGCCGAAGGCCGCCAACGTCACCTGGAACCCGCCGGGGCCCAACGCCGACAGGATCCAGGCGAGTGACGCCGTCCCGCCCGGCCTCTCGGTCGGGCCGAGCAATTACAATTCCGACGCCGCGAACTTACCGGAAGTCTCCTCGGGGTGGGCGCCGTCGGTGTCGTTCCCCGGTCCCCATTGTCCGGGTCGGGGGAAGGGGATCGCGCCAGGGATAGCGCCGGGGCCTGTGATTGCGTCGTGACCAGAAGTGGCGTCGCGACCCGGAGTGGCGTCGCGAACGGACGTGACGTTGCATCCGGAAGTGACGTCGCGGCCAAAAGTGGTGTCGCGGATCGCGCCGGGAATTGCGCCGGGGCCGGAGACCGCGTCGGGAGTCGCGCCGAGGCCGGGGACCGCGTCGGGAGTCGCGCCGAGGCCGGGGACCGCGTCGGGAGTCGCGCCGAGGCCGGGAGGGACGTCGCGGGCGGACGTGACGTCGCGGGCGGAAGTGACGTCGCGGTCGGAGGTGACGTCGCGGGCGAAGGTGACGTCGCGGGCGGGCGTGGTTTCGCGGGCGGGCGTGGTTTCGCGGGCGGGCGTGACGTCGCGGGCGGGCGTGGTTTCGCGGTCGGGCGTGACGTCACCAGTTTACCGCGACGCCGGCGAGTTGCCAAGGGCAACGGCCCGTGTGCGGAGACGGCACACAAAATTGACATTGCGCCCTGGAGCAGTTCCACGGCCCGCCTCGCCACCGCTTTGCGGCGGAGCGAGACGGAACCAGGGGGACCACGCCCCCGTGACAAAGGAAAGGGAGGGTAGAAGGGAGGGGCTCACGGGAAGGCCCACCCCCCAGTCCCCACCGCCCCCTACAATGGGGGGGCCCCCTCCCCACACCACAAGGGGGGCCCACCCTACGTCACCAAGGGGGGGCAATTTGCCCCACATAGAGAGCCCAGCCCGCAACCCAGGGGGAAGCCCACACTATGTAACAAGGGCGCGCTCACCCTGCTGCGACGCACTCCAAAGGGAGGAACCCCATCTTCGGTCCATTCACATCCATCCCCCATCATCTCACCATGCACCACAGGATAACGAGACGCCGCCTGGTCAGTGGCCGGACTCAGCCACACAATGGAGGAAGCTGGCAAGGCGGGTGGTAGCGGCCACGTCAGGAACCTCGGTCCTGGTCGGTGAAATCGCGGGAGTGTCGGCACGTATCTTGGTGGATACGGGGGCATCAGCCACGATCATCTCGAGCACCATGCATGAGATGCTGCCGGATAAAATCCGACCTTTAGTCCCCGTCAAGACAATGTTCATTGCAGCAAATGGAAGCAGCATGGGCTTCCTGGGCCAGGTTGAAGCCCCGATACAGATTGGGCAGCTTTCGGTAGCAGGACCCATCCTTGTCTCCGCAACGTTGCCCGTACCCTGCCTGTTGGGGACGGACTTTCTGAGGCGGATACCAATGAAAATCGATCTGGCCAATGGGCGGGTCGAAGTCCAGGGAACGCATCTCCATTTCCTAAAGGCGGAGGGGGCCAGCCGGGGTGTACCCTATGTGCAGGCTCTGGTCAGTAAGTCTGTCTCCATTCCCCCGGCAGCCCAGATGCTGATTCCGCTGCAATATCGGTCCCCCCTCGTGACAGCCCGACCAGACTCACCCATCCTGGTGTCTCCGACGTCAGCTGCCATGGATCGCCATGCGCTGGTGGGAGCCGAAACTATTGTACAGAGGAACCAGCATCTGTTCATTCAGGTGCTGAACACCTCCGATAGAACAGCGACGGTGCAGGAGGGAACAGTTCTGGCCCACGTTAGTCCCTTGTCACTAGGAGCCCCAGGGACAAAGCCCGAGCTTGTAGGCAGCATCAGCCAGTCCGAGGACAGAGGGGCCGAATCGTGGATGGACCAGCTGGCGGGGCCTGAGCCGGGATTGCCGCCCGACCAGAAACAGCAGCTGCACTCGTTATTGCATGAGTTCTCGGACGTGTTCAGCTGGGGACCGTTCGACCTAGGGCGCACAAATCTGTCGCAGCACCACATTAACACGGGAGATGCCGCACCCCTGCGCCAAAACACATATAGAATGAGCCCAATGGAAAAAGGGCACATTCAACAAGCGGTGCAGGAGATGCTGCGGGCCAACATAATTTCTCCCTCCTCGAGTCCCTGGGGGGCACCGGTGGTCCTAGTCAAGAAGTCAGACGGGTCGCTGAGATTCTGTGTGGACTTCCGACGCCTCAATGCCGTCACGCTGGCCGACGCATATCCCCTACCACGTATTGACGACTCATTGGATGCACTGGCGGGAGCAAAATTTTTCAGTACGCTGGATTTATTGTCCGGGTTCTGGCAGGTCCCACTAGACGCGGACTCCCGGCCTAAAACAGCGTTCCGGACACCACAGGGCCTGTTCGAGTTCAACTGCCTGCCTATGGGCCTCCAGACTGCGCCGGCGACGTTCCAACGCATAATGGAGTTGGCCTTAGCAGGCCTCCAATGGGAAACGTGCCTCATCTACCTGGATGACGTCATTGTCTTCAGCCGATCATTCGAGGAACACATTGACCGATTACGTCAGGTATTCCTGCGGTTCCGGAACGCGAACTTGAAGCTCAAGCCGTCGAAGTGCCACCTTATGCAGTCGTCGGTACGCTACTTGGGCCACGTCGTCAGTGAGTCTGGAGTGGCTACAGACCCGGAAAAGACGGCCTGCGTGAGGGCCTGGGCTGTTCCCACAACGGTTCCAGAGGTACGCCGGTTTGTGGGTTTCGTTTCTTACTACCGCCGTTTCGTACCCAACTTCGCAACCATTGCCAAGCCCTTGCACGTGTTGACGGCGAAGAACCAGAGGTTTTATTGGGGCCCTCTGGAGGAAGAGGCATTCCAGCAGCTGCGCTCACGTCTGACAGATGCACCACCATTGGCCTTTCCGGATTTTGGCCTCCCCTTTATCCTGGACACGGACGCCAGCGATGTGGGCATCGGCAGTGTTTTGTCGCAAGTCCAGCAGGGTCGCGAGGTGGTTATCGCCTATGGTAGTCGCGTGCTTTCATCAGCGGAGCAGCGCTACTGCGTCACACGTAGGGAACTCCTGGCAGTCGTTCACTTCGTACAGCAATTCCGACCCTACCTGTATGGTCGCAAATTTACGGTCCGCACTGACCACGCGGCCTTGCAGTATTCGCTCCGCATCGACCAGCCTTCGGGCCAGCTGGCCAGATGGATAGAGCGCCTGCAGGAGTACAGGTACCAAGTGGTGCATCGCAAAGGGACCAGACATGCCAACGCAGACGCATTGTCCCGACTGGCGCCCCAGGGCCCTTGTGCATGCACCACAGGCGGGGCACGCTGCAAGGAGGCGAGGCCGGAGGGGACGGTCATCGCTCCCGTATGCATGGCGGAGGACGCACAGGGTGAGGTCCAGCTGACCGACCACGACCTGGGGCTGACCTTGGACGATTGGCGACGGCTACAGCTGGAGGAAGCCCCACTGCGAACGCTACGCGCCTCAGCAGAGGCAGGGGGGGAGGAGTACATCGTATGGGAGGACCTCCTCATGCGATGGGACCCGACAGGGCGCCGACGATGCCTGGTAGTTCCGGAGTCGCTGCGTCAACAATTGGTTATGGACGTACACGGCCGCCAGCTGCTGCACCTGGCGGGGCGGAAGACACTGTACACATTACAGAGTCGGTACTTTTGGCCAGGTATGACCGCTGACGTGCATCGATGGGTCGGTACCTGCGTCGAATGTGCGCGGCGAAAGCCGCCACCCCGGGTAAGCCGGGCGCCCCTACAGCCCATCACGGTGACCAGGGTCAACGAATTGGTTGCGTTGGACATCCTGGGACCACTGCCGGTCACGCCACGGGGAAATAAATACCTGTTGGTCGGAGTCGAGTACTGCACGAGGTGGCCGATGGCGTGGGCCCTCCCGGACCAAACGGCACAGACCATCGCCGATGCCTTCGTGGGAGGCTATGTCCTTGATAAGGGGGCACCGGAGCGGTTGCTCACGGATCAGGGCAGGAATTTCTCCTCACAGCTATTGAAGGACGTCTGCTCTATCCTGGGCACTAAAAAGGTCCGAACATCTCCGTATCATCCCCAGACCGATGGGATGGTAGAGCGGCTTAACCGCACCATAGCGGCCATGCTGTCCCAAGTGGTGGACGAAAACCATTCCGACTGGGACCTCCACATTTCATCGGTTTTAGCGGCGTACAGGGTGGCCCCACACGCGGCGACGGGGTTCTCGCCGTTTTTCCTGATGTACGGACGGGATCCCGTTCCGCCTATTGAGGTGCAGCTGACGGCCATTCCTGCAAGAGCCAACGCATGGCCGAAGGCACTAAAGACCTCCCTCATTTATTTGAGAGGCCCGCCAAGCAGCCGAGGCCACATCGGCCATGAGCCAAGAGAGTAATGTACGGATACGGGAGAGGACAGTGACAGCCAAGCCCTTTAAAGTCGGGGACCAGGCATGGCTACACTGTCCTCAGGTGCCGGTTGGCCTCTCACCAAAGCTGCACCGACCCTGGAAAGGGCCGGTCGAGGTCATTAAAGCACCCCGACCGCAGTGCGTCCAGGTCCAACTGGGTAAGCGACGATGGTTTGTACACCCCACCCGCCTTAAGCCATACATCTCTCCACCGTCATCTTCACCAACATCACCACCAACATCACTGCCAACATCATCATCATCCCTACCCAGGCCAAGGTCGCCGACCACCCCGCGCCGACCGGCAGGGGGTTCGGTGCCCTGTGTTCCCTTGTCACCTACAGCACCCCATGTGAGGCCTGATGGAGCGGCAGCACGAGCGGGGGCCGGAGAGACAGCGGCGCCAGGCAAGGCGACACCGGCACCAGCGATCCAGGGACCGCGACGAGAGGGCCTTCGAAGGAGGGGGCCGCCACGGTCATCTGCTGCCTGTGGATGTCCGAGCTGTTACGGGATGCTGGCTTGAGACCTGGGCAGGCTGCGCAATTGATTTCGTTGTGTTATGTTGCATTGTATGGTTGTGGGGGGGGTAGGGGCTGTCGTCACTGTCAGTGGTGGGAGGCATGGGGAGATTTAAATGGTCCATGGGCGAGGCAGAACCGAGGACGGTTATTTTTTCTCCGGGGGGGGGGGGGGGGGGGGGGGGGGTGATGTAGGGGTGTCAGGGGAGGGATTCCCACCAATAGATGGGTTAGTGGGAGGGGTGATCGAGGAGATATAAGGAGAGAACTGGCGGGAAGAGGGGGCCTTTGGCGGGAACGATATTGGGACGGCTGGGAACAGGTGTGGATGGAAGGAAAGGAATAAAGGACGAGACCCCTGCAATCTGGTGTCGGCTCCCCCTTTACACAAGTAACATCCACAATAAGGAAAGTCACAGGCTTCGTTACTAACTAGGCCTCGTATTTACTACAACAACTTAACGGCACCATAAAGGCATTTACATTGCTATAACGGTCATTCCAACATTACAACAGCATTTCCAATATTAGAGAAATATAAACAACTTACAGATAATGCTTCTTAAGCTCCCACAATGATAAGTGCGGCTGTGGTCTCACTGAGATGTGATGCGTGCCGCCATCTTGACTTATCTGAGTAATGGCTGAAGCCCGCGTGGTACAGTGGAAATCTAACATCGTCACTTCCTGGTCACGTGACCAACATTAGCATCAAAAAACAGGAACTTCCTGTTAACGTACGCTCCCCATCTGCCGTGAGGCAAGACACCACCCCTCACTCACCACCCCCTCACCCGCTACCTCACTCACTGTGCAGTGTCCACTCACTCATCTCCACTTTCTCTTCATTCGTGGACGTTCATGGACACGTAACTAAAAACAAAGATTCCTCGTGTAGCCTCAACAGGCCAACGGCAACATCCACTCACAACAATAACCACTGTGTGCGCACGGTATGTGTGTGTACACGGAGTGTGTGTGGTGGAGTGGAGGGACCTCTGAGTCTGATTCTCTCTCTCTCTGGTCACAGAGACGACCTTCGTGGACTGTGGAGGCCTCAAGTTCCTGCTGGGCCTGCTCAAGCACCATGCCTGCCAGGGCCTCATGCTGCGCTTTGTGAGTCACGCGGAGAGGGGGGGGAGACAGAGAGAGTTA